TTCAATCCTACTATTTTCCCATTTTTAATGTTTTTTATTTACTTGTTTAAATTGTCTTTGATTGCAATAATAATTAATTATTAAAATGGGTGAACCAATTATTATTATTATTATTATTATTATTTTGTATTTACTTGTTTTTGTACGTGTTTATCATAAATCACTTTGTTAATTATTTTGTGTTTAAATTAATAATTATTAAATAATTGATGAGTCAGCATCGTCAATAAAAAACAAACTACAATTAATATTAGTAATTAATTACATAAATATTACTCTATCTTTTATAATATTATAGTCATGGTATTCTGTGCATGTGTTTTTGTCTTTTACATTTAATATGAGCTCTATATTTTTATTAATTGTTAACGATTGAAGAATTAGTAATATTCCTTCAGATGATATTGAAGTGTCTGTTATTTGTAATCCAATTAATGTTGAATTGTTGATAATTAGTTCAGAAAGAGACTGAGCACTAACTGAAGTAATACGAGGATTATCAAGGAAGAATAATCCTCTAAGTGTGTTATTGTGTGTTTGTAGTACGTTTGTAATATCAGCAACTGCTTTGTCATCAATGGAACAGTTGATAAGATCTAATTCCATTAATGATTTATTATTAGCCAGTAAGTTACATAAGGATGAGATGCAGTCCTGTGTTAGTTGAGTGTCTCGTATTGTCAAGTGATTCACCTTTTCATTTTGTACTAAAACTGGCAACAGATCACACACAACGTCAGGAGATGATTCCTTGATAACAATGCTATGATGTTTGTATGTTAATAGAGAAACTACTTCTTGACATTGTATTAAAGATGGAGAGGTCAGTTGAACACCATCATCATACCACCTAATTGCTTTAGGTTTTCCTGAATACATAAACAATTATAATAAATTTTGTGGATTTTATGATGTACAAAAATTTGTATTTTGCCAAAAAATGTTGTACGGAAATACTAAATTTTGCTTGCCGAAACACCAAAATTTTGATTTTTAAAATATAGTTTTGCAGATCATGGACAATATCTAATACCCTCAAAATACTCTATAGATTATTAGTACATATAAATATATCTTACCATGTTCTTTTTTTCTAAGTTGATCTAGCAGAACTGAATCTTGTTTAATTAATGATAAAAAGAGACTTGCTCTCTCAACGTTGCTCCTTGTCTTAATTTCCTTGATTTTAGGTATGTCAACATTTTCTGTCAATGCATAATGAAATAGTTCAAGTGATTCCAATGTTGACAGTTCACTCTCTTCATCTTTTTCAATAAGAGCAATATTAACAAGCCCCTCTTGATCAGTATCTAATGATCTGGCTAGCCACCATCCTTCAGTACGCTCTTCCTTGATCTCAAGTTTCTCTCCTTTTTTGATTGAAAGCTGAGTACTTTCCCTTGCCTCCCAGTCTCTAATAGCTACATAAACTGGTCCTTTTGGTGGATCTATTGATTGTGTAGACTGATCCTTTCCTAAAATACCAGTACTAGTCGTTATGTTAATATAATGTAATACATACTAAGAGTAATTGAAGTTTCTTTCAGTTGTTGTATATTTATTAATGATATCTTTTCCTGTAACTGTTCTATCTCCTTTTCTCTTTCAACTAATGTTTTCTCTACTCCAATTAACGTTTCTTCTATTCCTAGTCATTAATAATAGTCATAAATACAAAATTAATAAAAAATTGGTTGCTACTTTAAAAAAACATGAAAAATATTTATCAATAATTTGTGTATTATTTAATTGCATGTAAGAAGGACCAGTATTAGTATTGAGTATATACAATCATCCTCCTATTATAACAAATTAATGCACAACCAATAATGATACTCTAAACACAGCTGTACTGTATTCTCATTATACAGTATTAAGTATGTCTGTATATATACCTGTTTTGCTTTGAAGAGATGATCGTAAATGATCTATTTCCATTTGCATTGCTTTTGTCATCTTCTTTTTAATCTCTTCCTTCTCAGACTCTAAATAATAAAAATGAACCAATTAAATTATTAGCAACAACAATTCAGCTACATGATGTATTTATTCAAAATTCATGCACATGACAATATTCATAGATATCATGTCTCAAAACATGAATCTCATTATACCTGATGATTGTATTGATGACTTATTGCTTTCATCAACTTCTCTACCTTCATATGAGATACCTTTAAATTATCAATAATTATAATTAATAATAATTAGTATATACCTAATGTGTTCATTGTATCCTTCAATTTAGCATTCTCCTCAAGTAAATCATCTCTTTCACTCTCTACCATCTCCAGTTTCTTCATTAGACTCTTCACCTCCTATCAAATATTAAAGTATACTATTAATTTATATACACATACATTCACTAACATCATCAATTGCATGTTCATCATACACAGTATAGTAACCAATAGTTAAACTAATCAATCCCATCTCCTTTAGCATATCAACGTTATCTCTAGCTGTCACTAGTAAACTCTCCATCAGATAATGAGGAGCATAACAAGTAACAGTGATGGAGTTCCCTTCCTTGATCACTACCACCTCCACTTGATTATCTTTGAACGTTTTCCATAGGAGGGCTCTGATACTGGAGAGAGAATGCTCACTTGGATTCCATTTCAGAACAAACTTGATCGTCTCACAAGTGAGGAGAGAAGAGGATAATCTCTTAAGCTGACGATCACAAAACATTGTTAATTTGTTCTCACAGAATTCATCCAAGTGTGTCTGATAAGCTAATATCATGTCTCCAGCACCTTGTATTGAGTATTTGTTCACTATAGTCTCCAATAGAGCAACGTTAGTGATAGAACACTCATCCTCAATCAATTCCATTACATCATCAAAGCTATTGGCATTTTTCAACTGAGGCTTCAAATCTCGACGACACCTTCCAAGGTAGGTTTTGAGGTGATCCACAGAAGGTACTGCCACTTTAATGAGAGGAACAATATCATCAATAAGTGTACCAAGCATATCACCTATTCTATCAAACTCAGCTTCATAGCCAGGATGAACTATGACCTCTACTACACCTATAATATAGTGTAATGACATTGAATTGGGTATAATTAATGTTACTAACCTTGTCCAGTAGCATCAGTATTGGTAGTTACTTGAGTCTCACTACTACTATCTTGTAATTGTCCAGATCCTGTATTTATTATAATAGTCAATGTATATATGTTATATTATATCATTACTTGAAGATGTGAA